ATGCATTTTTCCACATCCCAAAAATACAAGGGAGATATTTGTCAGGCTGTGAAAGTAACCAATACRGGAACAAACTTTGGGCTGGGCAGACCTTTTTTCTTGGTGCTCACAAAGTACTTGGCYTCAAAGTTGCACTGATAGAAAAGGTTTATCCAATTGTAGATCCTGGTATAAACTGAATCAACAGGCTGGCCAGCACTCAGCCATCTGGAATGTTACTGGGAGCCACAATAAACTGTAGGGTGGTAATTCTTTCAGCTAATGTCCAATAAAGAGGGGATTTGGCCTCGTGGCAAATCAGACTCTTAATTTTAGTCTGAGACTTCTTGACTGAGAAAGCTCTGTTTCTATTRCAAGTCACATGAAATCCTAACACTATTTACAGCAATGATCTTTTTAATTCCTGAGCAGGAATACATAATATTAACAGGGTTGGKTGGAATGGATCATAAGGGCAATGATCTTGCAAATAGTACTCATGTGCTGTGTCTTGGACAAAAACCCAGGAGAGCATGATCTTGCTCTCCATTGCTCTGAAATGTGCATGAGTGCTGGCTGGATGTGATGCATTTGGTACCCAATCCATCTTCCCTGAGCCTACCCAATATAAGACRAGAGGTGCAGAGACATTTCTTCAAATAATAGGCTTAGCTCATGTGAAACCCAATTCTGGCTTCCATAATTATTGAGTAGTTAATGCAGTGAGCTAAGGCGGGAAGTGGCTCAGAGGCTGTCCTGCAGAAGACAAAAAGCCAGGGCAATGTGGTCAGGATTGTTTCAGTGTGCATTGTTAAGACATTGACATCCAACTGTTGTTCAGTTGTTGGCAAAGTGAAGACCATGCTCCACAGCCAAACTGCTTGTAGGACAGATTTCTGCAGTGGTGAAGCTGCATGAAATTCCTGGGATTACTGGTCCAGAACTAGAGAAATGCTGCTCACACTGTGACCAGTCTGTGGAAATGTGCAACTTATAACCAAAGGGATTGCAGATACATCCTGTAACAACTTCACATGGCATTTAAATCCACCTCCCACAATTGATTTGCTGAAACGGGGAAAGCAGGTTAAATAAAGAGGATGAYGAAAGAGGATAAAATCAAGTCAATTCAAAAATAAGATTTTTTTACTAAAAKATGCTGTCATAAACATATCCTTGTGAAATTTTTCACATCCAGAAAATCCTGCAAATGTACAAGCTAGTGTGAGATTTTCAATATCACATCCAGTGTGTATAACTTGCCCTTGCCTGATTATGTTATATTCATGAGCCTTGTTTAGTGTGATCAGACACCATAGAATTTGAGATCTTTACAAGGAAAGGTTTTGTCCTTCAATTTTCTTTCACAAACTTATAAAATCCTTGCACTTTATTTATATTTATTTATATTTATTTATATTTATTTATATTTATTTATATTTATTTATATTTATTTATATTTATTTATATGGAGGGCAAAGAAACAACAGCATTCTTGGTTGTAATTAGTGTCAACAAGCACCAGAAGTAACGCATTTCTGTGTGTTGCTGGTTTTTCTAGTTCAAGTGTGATGTCTCCTGGTATGTGAGCAAATGTGCAGTCACTCTTGGAACAGTAAGAGAACTGGGTCAGCAATGACAGAGAAAATGCCTCTTATGCASGGCAGCTGTAATTAGTGTTAAAAACTTCATGTTCAGTCACACCAATGCAGGGCAAAGTAATAGTTACAGACAGAAACTTGACTAAAATATCATATGYGTCATTCAAACTGGGTATTTTTCTTCTTTGTAATATACTATGTTTGTTTATACTCCCAAGTCAACAGAGYTCAGGGTATGATGGAAAGCAAGAACATCTCATCTGCTTGCTTCGGTTTGTCTTGTGGCTTGTAGATGAGAAGTTTAAGAATGGCATTTGTGCAGTGTTTCTAATCTTAAAGTATTTTTTGCATGTTTCTGTCCCATCAGGGTTCTTATCGTGATGAGGCTTGAGGTGGTTAAGTCATGTTTTAACAGTGAAGTCAGAGTAACTGAGGCTTAGGGTGTAACCAGCCCTTTATACCCCATCAGTTTGTACTGTTAATGAGCCCAAGTTCCTCAATGCTGATGCCATTTCCTCCTCACCCACAGTGCTGCTCTTAACACTGGGGAGCTCTTGGCAGTGAGAGCCTGTGTGAATTGCGGGCACTATTATCTATTTTATCAATGGGATTAAGTTTGCTGTCTGGGTAGCATCTTGCCCACTCAGGCAATGTGTGTGCAGATCAGCCTTTCTGCACATCCCCAGCATGTCCAGGTATTTGGGGTCACATTAGACCCGGGTCAGATGGCATGTGTTTGACCCACTACAGTGCAGAGGGTAAGAGCTCATGATTTGAAGAGCTAATGTACTTCACACAAGGTCACTCTGCAGTGTATTTCCTCTTAACCCAACCTATTTATTTTATTTGACTTTCTATTGTTCGCACTAAAAGGCTTTGAATATTCATTTTTACAGACAGGTTTTCCAAAGGAGGCATCGAGATTCAGGTCTCCATGTTTAAAAATCTGTCCTTAAATTTCATAAAGGTTTGGCATCATCCTATTTGAACTTATTTCCTCCTTTGTGAAGTGAGAAAGAAATGGCCACAGTGGCCAGATGGATCTGTAGTCTGTTCCAGTTAGCTCAGTACCCTCTCTCTGTAAATGATTAAAACAAGACATTCAGGAAAAGGTATAAAAATATGGCAAACATATTGGGAGGCTTCTCCTGAGCACTCTGTGTGATGTCAGAAATTTGAAGCTCAGGCTCTCCTTCAGTCAGAGAGCCTTTTAGGTAGGGTTGTTGTTAAATGTAGGGCTGGTGGTCAAGAGCTGGGCTGGCAGTAGCCTTTGGACTAGTCTGTTTGTTCTCAGAAGCAGAGTGGTGGGAAGGCTGTTGGCTTGGTGAGCTGCTGAAGAAAGGGGCATGAAATACTGAATCCCTAACTTCCTATCCTGGCTTTGTTTTATTTTTTGTCAAAAGTAGATAGATCACATCATGTCTCTGAGCTCCCTTTGTTAGGGAGAGTGAAAAGGGGAGTACTGACCTAGGGTGGAATGAAGCATGGTGTGAAGATGCTTGATATGTTAAAGAATGTCTTGCTCAGTTCAGAAATAGATTTGTAACAGTAGGATTCAGAGTCCATCTCCTCTGCCTCCCTTTGACACAATTATTCTTCTARGTTATCTAATCTGTTAAGAGGGGAACTTGTCTTCCTATTCCTCCAATGGGTATGAAAAGCAGTTTCCACTAAAAGAAAATCCTGAAAAATATATAATGTTGCTGAAACTTCACAATATATTAATATTATCTAATAATATCAGTGTATTTCACTGATAGTTTTGTCTAGCTCCAATAAACTGCACACTGGAGTGTTCTAAGCAAAGGCATTCAAGGTACTCTGGTATTTTAAATTTTTCATCMTTTTTTTGGGATGTTTACCTTAATCTCCTTTTTTCACTTAGCTTACTACCTTGAGTCAGCTGATCCCATTAAAAGAATGGACATTGAAAATTTTGAGTGGCAGAAAGTTATACCCCATGGGGTAATGTTTASAGTTCTCTTATCAAAATCKGTGTAATCRTAGAATCACAGAATAAGCTGAGTTGGAAGGGACCCTCAAGGATCATCAGGTCCAACTCCTGGCCCTGCATAGCACCATCCCCCAGTCACATTAATCTCTGTACAGTAAAGCTTATTGCTAAAAATGGGTCTGAGACTCTCCAGATTAATTTTAACTTAAATCCTCCTTTAATAAATTGCTGGGAGTATACTTTTTAAACCTCTTAAAGTTCAAGTCTTTGAAAAATGCAAAAGCTGTTAAGTATTTCAACATTCCACCTCCACCTAAGCTTGTTGTGTGACCAAGACTTTACTGGAAAAGCTAGTGTGTTCCTGTTAAAGGATATGGTGAGGCAGTGGGCAGGTATAAGTAAATTTGTGAGCTTCTCCAGTGTTGCTCAGGGATAACTTTTTAGCCAAATATTTTTTTTTTTTTATGTTACCATTATTACAAGCAGTGCTCCTGAGTCAACTAATGGAGTTGGCTGGTTCATTGAGAAAGGGTATCTCAGAACTGTGATCAGCTTGGCCTATGTAGGGATTCACTGCAGACAATCATTTACTTTTGGTATCTGGATGGGGTGCACAGACTCCTCRAGTCTCTTTGGCTGGGATACAGCAGAAACCTACCAAAATATGAAAAAAGGCTAAAAATTATTTCATAGCACCATACATATTGACAAAATGCAAGGCAAGGAAGACATCTTYTTTTTTCTCATCATCTCTTCTGCAACACGCACATATGAGGGTGCAGTGTTTCCATTTGTACCTCCTATGTTATTCCTGAAAACAGCTGCAGAATTGAGGATGCTGCAGACTCCATCCTGAGAAAGAATTGCTCATACAAAGGTCCTGCCRTTCTGCTGCTCTTCCATGCTATGGGACTGTTGTCTGTGAGCTGCCAGTGAAATAGTGCCCGTTTGGAAGAGGTTGATTGGATCTGGCATGGGAGAATGCTGTTCTTAGGCATGGGTGTTTGATATGGATGAATAGAGAGCTGCCAGCCTGCATCTGTGAAGGCARACATAGGTCAGCCTTCACTGCTCGTCACTGCCTCATTGCTGCTCTGGTCCTGCATGCTTTCCACATATGTCTTGGTGACACGTGGGGATCTGTGTGACACATATTTTCCTGTGAAGATTSTGCTGCTAATTATTGCAAACTATGYRTGCAAAACCATTTAACCTGGCGTTTGTGTTTGATTTCTGGTAAACATTTGACGAGCTTTAGTTTTAGGGCATTCAACAAAAACTTCCTAGCAGGGGAGACAGTCTTTCCATATCATCTTCTTATTTCCTTCCCATTTAATTTTCTSTTTTACTCACCTGCCCCTACCCTTGCTGCCTGCATGGGAGGGGCGCTGTATTTCCTGCCTTTCCAGATAACCTGGGCTGGAAGGTAGGACTCTTTTGAGTAGCAAGTTTAGAGGCAGTGGGACTACCAGTGGACCTGTGCAGCAGTGGCATTGAAGGCTGGGRAGTTCTTCCCATTGCCTCTTGCTGRCAGTTTTARGTCCTACATACTGCTGGAARTGTGAAATCCCTCAGGTTCCCCATGTCAGTGGCTGATTGTGAGATTTGACTGATACAGATGAGTGAAAYCTGAAGGTTCTCTAAGGACTGTTCTTTCACTTTGGATGTGAAAGGCCAGAGGATTTTTTACAACCTTGATTCCAGCTGCCTCCTTTGAAGAAACAATGAAGAAGATTTCAGGRCACATTAAGCCCAGGCAGAGTGTGGTGCTACAGAGGTTCCAGTTCAGTCAGCRGGAACAACTGCCTGGTGAAACTCGTACAACTTCTACTTTGGCATTACAAGATTTGGCATCAGTCTGTGGTTTTGGCTGTTGGCAGGAAGAGCTGATCCTGGACCAGCTAATTGACCGCCGAATTTGGGAGAAGGTCTTGATGGAACTTMATACCCGGACTCTGGCCCAGGCAGTGGAGCTGGGATCACAGATGGATAGAGTGTTGCAGAAAACTTGCCCAGGGTTTATTTCAGTTCTGACAAAACRGTGGGAAAACTGCAGCAGCACTAGWAAAATYTGGAAGATAMGAAATTATAATTGCTGTCATCAGTGGTACTGCTGGAGACAGAAAAAACCTCCTGCCCTGACAAAAAAATATAATCAAGAGAAGCAAAATCAGTTCATCCCATTTTGTCACAGCCCAATCTCATCTGCACCAGTTATGAGGAGACAGCACTTGGGTTGGCAAGTGAGATGTCCTGCCACATTAAATGCAACCCCCAGGAGAGTCAGGAACGTGAAGGTAGGCTGCTGATTGCAAAGTGCCTGGGAAAGAGTGACAGGAAACTAAATGTGATGTGACCATTCAAACTGGGTCTGTTGTTAATGCAGAATCCTAACTCTAGACTARGTTGCAGCTCTCCAGGTTATGCTGCAGTACTTGAACATTTAAATGAAAACCTTTCCTKTCTGGAATGAAGGTGTTACATGCTTGACTTTTGTTTTTTGTCTTTTGCAAGAGTTAGATCTAAAATATTTTGGTGAGGTGTTAACAATTGTAAGAGCAGTGTCTGCACTGGGTTTGGTGTATTGATGTATTGGCTGGAGGCTTCTGCTAAAGAACCTGGCAGAGAAAGAATGTTATAAACAGAGTTTTCARATTGGTACTAAAGGAGGCTGCCTGAAGAAAATCTTCTTAACCCTTTATAACACATAGGAATAAAACCCATTTCTGTGAGAGGCTAGATTTGTAGAAACCTCCATTGCTCCATAGTCATTGCGCTTTGAAATGGTTTTGTAATGGAGCATCAAGTTTATACAGATATCTGTAAGTAAAGACCATAAAAAAATGAAGTTGTATCTATATCTGAGGTACCTGTCAAATAAGATTGAGCCAGAGAAGTTCTGCTGTAACATCTCTCTCCACAGTATTCTGCTCTGTTTTAGTCTAATCTTCCTACTTCTATATACTGGCAGAGGAAAGCAGGATAAGTTCCTATCTTTTTTTTTTTTTTTTTTTTTTTCCTTTTAAAAATATTATTTTATGCATGTGTGTGTTTGGCTTGGCTGGTTGGCTGGTTTTCACTCTTTTTCATTAAAGAAATGATTTCAGCATCTTTGGTTCTGATAATCACCCTCTATTTGATTTTTCTCTGGTAGATCAGTGGAACTAACCATTTGTGTAAGATAATGCAACAGGGTTAGAGAGAAAGGAAACAACGATGAGGAAATTTGATAGAGCCAGATCCAATAAAAGGACAAATGTTAGCAGAAATGATGGTGAAATAAGACAACAAAAAGCACAGTCGATGTGAAATTAGACTGTTTTCAAACAAGGTGAACCATCTCTGCACAGAAGCAAGCTGAAGTAGTTCCTCTCTAAAAGACTAAGAGRAAATACAGTTTGTGAGTGGTTTGAAGATATTTCTCGCAGTGCTTCTTATTTTGCCCTTGCTGAATCCTGTCATGAGCTGAACAGACAAGCTGCATCCCCTCACAGCTGCCCTGCCTTCCCTAAGGCAATTATTTGTGATTACCTACATAATTTAATTAAATGTTTAGACTGTCCTGAACAATTGAATACTGTACCTCTAATGCCTGTTATTAGTCCTGTTCCTGACAGGTAAGGAAAACATTATTGAGGCTAAAAATGTCCTGGTACTCTGTGTATTCAGCATTGAAGCAGTGAAAAGGCTGACTGAAGGGAAATGAGCTGTAGTGARAAGTACTCTGACCTGAGGCAATGCCAGCAGGATCTTCAAAGMCTTGAAAATGTATGATTTGCATCTTTTTGTTTCCTTTTAAATGTCACTTGATCTTTGTGGTTAAGAGCAAAATTGAGCTCTGTTTTGTTAACCAAAGTTTGCAGCTTTTTTGGATGCTCATGCAGGTCTGTGTGCCGTTTTTCTTGAACTGACCTTAAGAGCATATGAAACCAGACACAACTGTTGCAAGATTTTTTTCTCATCTTGTGATGGTTTTAAGTCAGTGCTGTGCCAAGTAAAATTATTAGGTAGGAGGYAATAGTTACTGTATCCCTGATCTACAGTGCTGAAAGCTGGATTTTTGGCTTAAAAGGTTTATTTCTCTGATCTGATAAGCTTTCAGACCTTTTTGTGCATTCAGSTTGGCACGGGTTAGGTGAAGAATTGTGGTGTGGATTGAGTGACTGGATCTCACTCATATCTCACTGTTCCTTGCCACATTCCTTGCCACATGAAGTGATTTGCTAATACCTGGGGAGATACACAGGGCAGTTTGGGAGCCTGGGGACAGCCAGGGAATGAATGACTTGATATAACCATGTCCACTCCTGCTTTTTGCTCATAATCTTGCTGCCCTGGATTTTCTTCTGCAAGACCTTTATTTGCTTTCTGCATGTTKCCAAGTTGGAGAAATTGCATGTCACGAGTTATTAGAGCTTCTCTCACATCTTCCAGCCCTCTCTCGAACCTTACAAAACCAGGTCATTGCCACTGAACCCAGGAAAGACATGCTTAGTTTAACCTTTCAGGGGCAGCAGTTTCTGCTCCTTCTGTTTCAAAAAAAATAAATTGATAAATTCATTGATAAAGTGTATGGAAGCCAAAGTGAACACTTTATGCAATCCTAGAATCTCCCATGGTGACACATAGGTATGACAGGCCAAGAAGCWGTTCCTTCCTCCTGAAGGACTAAATGGGCATAATTTGTGTTTCTAGATAGGGATATACAATGTTTTCTGTCAGYGGAAGAATCTCTACCATATGACACATTTTCTGTGACAACTTGGAGTGTAGGGCAGATGTGCCTAGGTGAATTGTGCCAAAGGACTTAGAATACMGACATTTGTGTCCCTTTGGACACCTTTTTCATCATACTGCAGTTTTGAGGCTTGAAATAAACAGCTTAATTTATAAGGACAGGGTGGTATGTGCCATTTTGCACTGTGAGGTTTTCTTTAGGCTAAGCAACAGGTTGTGTTCAGTCTTTTCTCATATTCATGTTTTTCTAGATCTCTCCTTTCATCAGTGGACATTCTTGGGCTCTTTCTGAGCTCCACACTTGATACATGCATGTGGGCTGCTTGTAAACCTGGATTGCTGCAGTTCTTTGCTCATGACTGCTCTTCCATGTCACCTCTGTTACAATGGTGTATCTCCTCTGGCCTGTGTATTGTGGTAAAATATATTACTAAGCATGTACAAGACGCTAATTACTGAATTAGAAGGTTACAAGGAGCCAAAAATGGTCTTCTCATCTGTCCTGCTACTGGAGATCAACTCTACCTGTTTCATTCCTGTCAAGTGTGTGTCTAATCTRTACTTAAAGGCAGAAGGTGATGGTTCTATGCTATCCTCTAGGCAATCTGTCCCAGTTTTTCATTATCCATACTGTTGGTGGTTTATTGATTCTGTTTAACTTCAGTCTTATCTGCTACAATTTAAATAAATTAAATCTTGTTTTAACTGTCATATGCTTGGAGAGAAGATTRCTACCTTGCTAACCTTGCAATTAAAAACTGTTTGCACATTGTACTCTCTCTTTGGGCTGTATTTTCAGTCTTYCCCTGTGATTCATTCTCAATAATTTTTGTTCTTCTTTTGACTATTGCCCCTTGCTCCATGTATCCTGCTGTAGGATACACATCTAGCTGTCTTGAATGTTCCAGCAGAGACCTCATCTGTGCCAAGCTTAGGTTCCCCATGCCACTGTAAATACTGCAGCTGTTGTTTCAGCCACATGCACTGCTGGAAGTGCCAAAAGACTCCTGGAAGCTGTGTACATGAATGAGACAGGAGTCTTGTGGCAAAAGCACAGCACACTCACCCATGTAGTGAATCAGTATATCCAATGTGAATCAAATCAAGGGACATCATATGAAGTCATCACTGGGATAAAAGGTTCCTGAGAAAAGGAAAATGRGGCATTTTGGTCATAGATCTACTCTTGTGGATTTTGAAACATAAGGCTGGGCTTATGTGACCTCAGGTCATCTCATGAGTCAGGAGATTTCATTCTCCTRTGCCCAGTCACCTAATCTGGTATTACAGTGCAGCTCAGAAGTCTGGACATGTTGTCATTGCCTCACCAAGAAGGAACAGAGGTGAAATCAGGTATCCAAGATCAAAGGAGAATTAAGGCATTAAGCTGGATACTGAGTAGCTGCATAAAAAAAAGGCACTTGAACTGCTTCCTAAGCCTCTGAATGGCTTGGTTCCACATGCAGCAGTGTTCAATACACTTCAGCTCCAGTGTGTGTCTGCYACCCTGGCAGGCACTCAGCACCAAAGGCTTTCCCTTCCCTGCAGTGTGCCATGTGGACATAGAAAAGACTTGAGCCTGTGTAGAACCAGTGCACCCTGATTCCACAAATATCAGCTGCACATCAGGCCCAGTGCTGATGYAATCCTTGTGCCTATTTAAAATCCCTGTAAACAGCCCTTTTACTTCCTGTTATRTGGGAAGAGAAGTGGAAACAGTGGGCAAAAATGGTACAACTTCATGCACAGCTGAATCCATGCTCTGCAACAGCAGTTTTCCTTGAAAGTTGTTATTTTATATAAGCTGGCCTGTTATTTGATCTCTTTTGCTTTGAAAAGCTCATGGAAAAGATTTCTCAACCACTCTGGAGAGAGGAGAAAGGGAGTGAGCAGGCTGTTGGCATTGGAGTGTCTCATGTCACCCAGCTAGGCTAAACCTCAAATAAGGTGTGAGGATGCAAAGTTGTTCTGGATTCAATTCACTTTCTGAACTCACGAGGAGGACCTAGCCTATCCTTGTCCCATGTCTGAAAACCATCCTTCTTGCTGTGTTCCTSATTTTTCTGCTGGCTCCAGATCTCATGCTGTCAGTTTTCAGGAGCTGCCTTTGGCTGCAAAGCTTGTCCACACTGTCCACAAGTGTTTGTGTAACACTTGATAGAGTCCAGAGCCCAAATGCAGGGCAAGTGTGTAAGAAGCAAATACTAAAGSTTAGTAGGGGCAGTTGAGGAGGGAAAGCCTCATGTGTTTTATGCACAAGGAGAGATAGGGACTAGGAGTCAACTTGAAGATGAAGAACATGACAACAAGAGGAGGAAAAAGTCTTATCTGGCTATCAAAAACCAGGCTGATTTTGCTGGCAAAGCTTGTACTTAAAGCTATCAAGGACATGCAGTAATGGCGCGTTTCTTTGACTGAGACATATGGAAAAATAGTGCTTCTGTTATTCATATCTCATGATAGGGGTGCATGTTTAACTGAGTGTCACTTGGAGCCCCGTTAAAACCACCTCAACAATGCAATATACAGTACAATATAGTTTTCCTCCCTATTTGTTCTT